TTACAAGAACGTATTCATGTGTTGCTTAGGTAATTAAAAATAAACCCCTCCCAAATAAACTAATATAAGAATTGAATATAGTAAATGTTTTATATGTTTCCCTAAGAAAATTGTCAAAAACAGTTAATAAAGACACTAAAGTGGAAAAATGTCAGAAGACAGTTGCTTAAAATATATGACATACATATCAAATGAAGCTTTGCAAGAAAAGAAAAAGAAGTGAAACAGAAAACACTAATTATTACGTAAGAAAATACCCATCAACTAAAATGTATTAGTATAAATGTGTTAGTATTAGGACATAGCATGATATGGGTGTTGTGCTATGTGGTCTAAGGGATGCGAAGGTGTGTTCAGACTTAGTAGCAACTCTATAAGAGTTCATAGCTTTGTTAATAAATTAGAAAATTTTCCACATAAAAAGTTAAGATGCAAATAAGGCAGTGTATCCCTGACAAAGATTTATTCTAAATGAGTTATTCTAAACTTGTGGGATGAAGACTCTGTGTTAAGGTTAAAATAGTAGCAGACAACCACAATAACATTGTATTTTTAAATCCACTGAGTGAGAAAATACACTATGAAAAAAGGTTACTATAAACACAGGAACGCAAAACAAACAAAACAAAAAAACAAAAAGAGACTGAGGAAAATAGGACTGTATTTCTCTCATGTCACCATAAGAAGTCCAAGGCTGGCAGGCACTGTGGCTCCCTAACTACTAGCAACGCCGGCTCTTTTGATCTTGTGACTCTGTCATCCTCAAGACGCCACTTCCACCTCATGATTCAAGATGACTGCTTTAGCTCCAGCATCATATCATTCCAAACAAAGAGGAGGCTCGCTTTCTGCCTCTACACTTACGTAAGTATTAGAATCAGAACAATCCAGCTTCTAATTGTGACTTGACCAGTTACTATGTAACCTAGGAGTGTTTTTTGAGCTCTGCAAACATCAGCCTTCCCGAAGTAGGACACGACACTTCTGCTTATATCCTACCAGCCGGAAAATGGGCAAATGACTACATCTGGCTGCAAGGGAAGCTAGAGATGTAGTCTTCATTCTGGACAGCCATGTATCTATAAGCATTTTCCATAATGTGTCTAAGTACTGGACAAAGGAAATCACAGGTCTCTGCCACACTTTCTAAGAATACGTAACTTATTAATGAATACAACACTTTCACACTTTGAAAAACAGAGGTAGGTGAATATACGTGCAAGATATTTCGTCTATATAAATGCTTGGTTCAGCATGTGAATTTGAGGACCTGGTCACAAACTAGTCTCTGGTGAAAGCTGCCCAGAGCTAGAGGCAGTCTGGATGATGTTAGGCTGGAAAGGTTTCATGGAGATTAGCTGGGCTTGAAGAATGTGCAAGATTGTGAAATAGATGAGGAAGGGCAACTGAGACAAACGCAACAGCAAAGGCAAGCAGACAAGCGGGGTAGTCTGGCGGGAGCAGAAGGCATGTGGAAGCACTTTAGGGGGGAAAAAAAGGATGGATGTTGTCTTTGTTACAGAGAAAAGTATGAGGAGGTAAGTTTAAAGAAGGCTAAAAGGAGCCTCGTCTGCAGTAGAAAGCACTGGTGGAAACTGCTATTCAGGAGGCTAAGGCCGCAGGGGAGGCCCTGATTCAATTCCTAGCTCACCCTGAAAGCCAGGCCCAATGGCATATGCTTGTAGTGCTGGTTACACAGAAGGCGTAAGCACGAAAAGTGATATACAGCATGTCTTAAAAAATTAAAATCTGCAAAGTTATAAAAACGGTTAAATGAAATAAAAGTTACAAAAAAGAAGAATGTTAAAGCAAGGCCTTTGACATTCTGGGTCTACTGATAACTAGATGTGCAGCCTCAAGCATTTAGGTAGGACTTACTTGAGTGTGAAAAGTGGGTAGTAATAACCACCTAATAGGATTATTTTGAGGTTAAATATTAGCCTGCATTTATTTTTCCTTTTTTTTTTTAAAGACTTATTTTACTTAACTTTTTATTTATTTTTAATTTGACCAGAGAGGGACAGACAGAGAGGGAAAGTAAGAAAGCGAGCCACCAGGACTTGAACCAAACCACGGTCAACCATGTAGGAGTCCAGCAACCTTAACCACCATGCTACCTGCCAGCCCCCCCCCTTATTTTTATTCAATCACTGTGTATCTTTTCAGCATACAAAATGAATTTTCTCAGTATGAATACACTATATATTTGTCCAGTCCAAAATACGACCATGAACATTATTATCAACTGATAATTTTTCAATTTTGTGTCCCTTAAATGTTTTGCCTTTTTTCCCCTGATTCTCTCCCTTCCATCCCAGCCCCCATTTCTCACCCTCCTCCCACGCTCTCTCTCCATGCGTTTATACAGTTGCTCTCCGTGGTTTTATACTTCCAGTCTTTCCATTTCTGCCACAGAGTGCAGACATTCAGTACCTGAGCAACCGAGTAACACGATAATTTTTCAGAGTGCACGACAATCTGACAGCCAGGCTAAGGGAGGGGGGAACAGGAGAACTCTAAAGGTAGATGGCGCAAAGCAGTAACAAGTAACCCAGTACAGCTGATCACGGGGGTTTGCTCTCTAAGCTTGACACAAAGAAAAACTGGAGTTGGCAGGAGGATATTGGAGCTAGCTATCAGTTAGGACCACTGCCAAAGTCCAGGCCCAGGGATAAGGGCCTGAAATAAGACAGTAGCTGTGAGGCTGGAGTAAAAGAGTTGGCCAGGAAGGAAGCTGGAAAATAACTGCAGGTGGAGGATGAAGAAGAGGGAAGGAAGGCTCTGGATTGAGTGACTGAATGACCAGTGGCACCATTAAATAAAATACGAAAAAATAGAGTTAAAACAGAATAGGGGTGGGCAACAAGTTCAGTTTAGACTACTGAGGTGATGCAGAGACATCAGGCAATGAAAATGCCCAAACTCCATTATCCGATGGGGTATACAGAGCTGGCATCAAAAGTGGTGTCTGGGCTAGAGGTGTGTAGGTTTGGAAGTCCCTGACACAGAGGTAGCTGAAGCTGCAGGAGAAGAGGAAGTCACCCAGAGAATGCCTATGGGACAGAATCTTGAAGAAGGTCAAGACTAGCACAGGAAAAGAAAAAAAGAAGCCAGAAAGATGAATTAGAATGAGATGAAGAGAACTGGGAGATGGTAATGTCAAAGAGGTCAGGAGAAAGAGAGTGGCTCGTAGTCTTCAAGCACTGTGAGTTGGCACATGGAGCTGGACGCCTGCAATGGTCAGTAAAATGCTCCAACTTTAAGTGGCAAGCTGCTGAGTGCTCTTCAGAGCTGTAAGGGAAAGGATTAGGGGGATCCAGGAATGCTCACCTCCTGCTGGAATGAAAAGCAGTCAGGACCCTGGAATAGCTTAAAGATGTCCCTCTCACTACACAGAGTTCTGCCAACACAGAAGATCAGAGCAATTTCTGACACGCTCTGTGTCTACCTTGGAGTACATGTATATGTCTCTATCTGCACACCTGTCAATCTTAGTCTATGTGTATTTCTCTCTCTCTTTTTCTTTCTCTTTCAGCTGCTGATCAACAATATATATTGGGTTGTTGGAAAAGTCAAGACACATTTTTTACATAGAAAAATATGCCATGACTTTCCCGACCAACTAATAGAAAGATGAAAATGAAAACTGTCAGATTTAGCTCTCTCTTCCCTCTCAGCCTCTGCTTGACTGAACCTTTTTTTCTTTTGGAGTTTTTTGTTTTTGTTTTGTTTTGTTTTGTTTTGCCTTATGGCGCATATGCTCGCCAGAAAGAAAGAGACAGAGACAGTGAATGGGAAGGTGAAGATTCACCCCCTAGGAGGGATGACCATGCCACAATCCCTGCTCCTCCATTCTCCTTCTGGGATCTTGGGCACACATACACATGCACCCAGTGTGATTTATAAGCCAGGATCTTGTGCACACACACATACGCACGCAGCATGATTTGCAAGCCAGGATTAGAACTACGGTCAAAGATTCGAATCAAGGTCAGTCATGTGGGAGTCAAGTGACATAACCACTATGCCATCTGCTGGCCCGTTGACTGAACTTTTGAAGACTTACCCTCAGCATCTAGGATAGTACTGTGAATACACAATCACTCATGTTTGTTGACTGGCCCATGGCATAGTGGATAGGGCAAACTGGATCCCATATGGCAACAGCATAGTTCAAGTCCTGGACCCAGCAGCTTGAAAAACACACAGGGTACATGTGCATGCATGCCTGAAATGCCAAGAGGGAAATGGAAGAGAAGGGACTGCAGTGAGGCCATCCCCCTGAGTGATTTCTCTTTCTCTCCCTGTCTCTTTCTCTAGCAAGTATACATGCCCTATGGGGGGTGGGGGGGAGCAAATAAGATAATTAGCCAACAAGAGAAGTAAGTGGTGGAGGATATAAGTAAATAATAGAGAAAAGCAGGAGAGCTCTTGGAATCAGACTCAGACCTTAGTAGAAATTAGTCTCTGTTACTTCCTATGTAACCTTGCATAAGTTCCTTAAAGGTACAACAGGGACAATAGAATCTACCTCAAATATAGCACTCGCCTAAGTGACAATGTACAATAATAATTATTATCATTATTATTCAAATTCTCCAGAAGTCTGAACAATATTTAGTACACTTTAAAAGAGTTATAAATTGACTACTAATCAATCGATGCCATCTACTATGTTTACTGAAACCAGGAAGTACACAGCAACATCACAACAAAACCATGGAGATAAAACCTGCCCGCTACAGAAGCCTGAGAGTTTACAGAAGTTAAACGAGGTCATTTAACACAAATCAAGCGGTCTCTTCCCCAAAATGAACCTATTAAAGAATAATAAAGGTCTTGGACACAACTGTCTCATGTTACTAAACCAAAGCTTCAACTCTCCTCTGGCAAATGGGAGGAACGTGCACACACACCCCTTTGTCTATGACTTTATATGGACTATTTAAAAATGAAAACGCCATGGAAAAAAATAAGCAGTCCCTATAGATCATACTTACAAAGTCTTCTTCTGTAATAGTTGGTGGCTCTGAAACGAGATAAGAGATTACAACACCTCACTCCAATCTGATACCCTTTCGGAGTAGACGAAACACTGAGGCAGCCCCTAAGGGAGGGTACCTCTGTCGCACGTGGCCAAGCTCAGTGAATTTGGGCCCTGTGCGTTCTCTATACCTGGACTGACTCTGAAGGGGCCAATTCAAGGTGGAAGTGGGGAGGAAAGGCCTTTGGGGTCTAGACTGGCCCCAATCCACTGCAGTCCTGGAATTACCCTTAGTCGAGGGAGGCCTCCATTGTTCCAGCTGCAAAACGGAAAATTAAGCAACGGAAACACGGTGCCAGGAAGGCATCCTAGACTGGAGAAGGGCCGGAACCCGTAATGAATGCGAAGGGAGGGCAGTGAAGCCAGGTGTTGGGGTTCGGGAAACCCCCGGGAGGGCGGCCGGCCACCTACCGGCG